TCTAGTGAAGACACGCTAACAAGTGAAAGGTGAACTCCAGTCAATGCCAGTAGTTTTGCTTCCACGAGGAGCAATGGAAGTCAAAGGGAGAGTTTTCTCCCTTTGACTTCCTGCAGTGTGGTCAGTGCCAAAAGTTGAGTTAAGGTACTTTGACTTCAGCTACACATTTAATGTAGCTGGAGTTGCATATCTATATGACCTTGTCCCATAGACATACCCCTAGAGAATAATATTCATAGCCTGTGAGAAATTATCTAAAAAAAATTTTTCCCACTGTCTTTTTTAACTTATTAATTTTGTTTCAGTAGAGTATATAAGCACAACAGCCATTTGGACTCTTTAGAAGCCTGAAAACTGTGGGAATTTAAACAGAAATCTCCACTTCCTCCTAAACTACTTACAGACTTGTCAGACAAATCTTTTTAAAATTGGAGTTATTCAAGGGGAAAGAGAGCAGGTCCTTTCAGAAGTGCTAGTGTTTGTGAAGAATAAAATTTAGCTCCTGTAGAGGGGGGAAATAGCAAAGTACTCAAAACTTGTCTCAAAATAGACTTTTTTCTTTATATGCCAGAATTTCTGAAAAAGGGTCACTTCTCGTGAATGAGTTGCAGGTTTGGATTCAAATGTTTCTTTCACAAAAATCAACAGATTTCAGGGTAGATGAGTTTTCCTTCTGATGTCTATTGCAATTTTTAGGCTACTAACACCATACAATATATTTGAATTCCATTTTTGGTCTGACGTCAGTGCTGTAAAAGATGCTGGAGCAGTAGCAGTGGATATTGAAGCCCTCTTTACATACAGAATAGAGGTAGCCCAGATAGTGGCAGTGCAGCCTTCCTCTGCCAATGTATCTGGGGAGAATCATTACTCAGAGTGATTTAGTTTATCTGCCAATTTGGTGTGTGTCCTTGTGTCTTGAAAACATTTGATACATGTAACAAACACTAATGGTAACAACTTTTAGGACCCGATTCCTGCTCCCACTGAAATCAGTGGTAAAATTACCTTCAGTGTCTGGAAGATTGAGTGCTCAGTGCTGCATTTTTACATTACATGGGGATTTTTGAAAATCCCACTTTGGGTATGTCTACACTACCACCCTAGTTCCAAATAGGGTGGTAATGTACGCAACCGGGGTTGTAAATGAAGCCCGGGATTTGAATTTCCCGGGCTTCATTTGCATAAAGTCGGGCACATGATACTCCAGCTGGGGCCTAATGTAGATGGCTCAGTCCCTGCCTAGGGGATGTGACAACTGGGCGGGTTAATTTCCAATCCTCTGTTTATTCTTTTCCTAAACCAGGAATGCACAGTAATTCTGATGGGGGCTCTGCAGGAAGGCAGCCCGCACTGGCCCCTGCCTGAAACCTTGTGCAGGTGTTAAACAGCTGTCCAGCCCACCCTAGAGGTGACTGCATTTCAGCGTGCCTGAAGCAACACAGCACCAGCAATGGACAGGAGAATGGCTCCCAGGCATGGTTTGCTCATGACTGCTTCAGTCCCGTTGGATGGGCCTCAGCCTCTTTCCTTCCCCTCCCTCGCTTTGCAATGGGGCTGTAGACTCTGAGGGAGAGGGGTGCAGGCAGGCAGAGGTGTCTCCCTGAAGCAGATAATACACATCTTTGTATTAATCATTTTCTCATTGAAATTTTTAGCTTTGTATTGAGTCCTTTTACATGGAAACTTTGTATTACATCTTGGTAGAATAGTCCCTAGGACAAGTGAGGCAGAGACTGTCCCTATGGGGTGAATGAGGTGGGAATGGATAAGGCGGAAGGTGAGCACCTCTGGGCAGTTGCAAAGGTTGGAGAGGGGATGGAAGCCAGATCCAAGATCAATGAGTCCTGGGAAGTGGGCCCATTGAAAGGAGACTGGACCTGTGGATCCCTTGGGGGTCAGCAGCAAGGGCCTGCTTTGGGAAGCCCCCTCTTTGGAGGTGAATGTGTCATCATTGAGACACCACCCAGAAGCAGGTGCCACAGACACTAACTGCAGATTCATGGGACGGCTCTTTCAGATCTTGCACATGCATAAGATGATAGATCTACAGGAGGGGGGACAATGGCGTAGCGAGGGGGCCGGAGGAGTCAGTTGCCCCTGGGCACCATGCTAGCGAGGCACCAATTTAATCCCATTCTGTTCCCCCCATCATCCCTCAGCTCACGTGCTCCTACGCCGCCTGCCACCGGCAGCTCCCCCCTGCCTCTCTGATCCAAGCCTGACCCTCCTCCATCTCCATTAACGGGTTAGTGCACGCGGGAGCCCGGTCCCAAACTGTAGAGGGTGGGGGAAGATGCGGTACAAGTTCTCCTCTGTTGTGCACCAGGTATGGAGCCGTGCCACATGGCGGGGGGGTGCAAATTTTTCCTTTGTCCCCAGGCACATAACACCCTCACTACACCTCTGCCTGCAGTCAGAGAGCGAGAGAGACTGAGAGAGCAGGGAGTCTCCACATACCGTCCTTGCCTGCAGACACCACCACTGAAGCTCCCATTGATCAATAATGGGGAGCTGTGGCCTTTAGAAGCTGCGGGCTTAGTGCCTGTAGAGCACATGGTGCCATGGAGCCATTGCTGTACATGCCAGCTGCTTTCAGGAGTGGTGCAGGGCTGGGGCAGGAATAAACCTATCTTAATCCCACTGCTCTACCACCCAGAAGCTGTCTCAGTTAAATGGTGCCCAGAATCCCTGTTCTACACCTGAACCTCCTCCTGTACCCAACCTCCTGCCTCAGACGTGAGTCCCTCTTCATCCAAACTCCTTCCCACAGTGAGTCCCTCTGCATCCAAACTCCTTCCCACAACTTGCACCTAGAAACTCCTCCTGGACCCCAATCCCCCACCCTTTGCTAAGCCCGGAGCTCCTCCCATACTCCAAATTCCTTGGCTCAAGACCAGAGCCTGCACCCCTACCCCACTCTGGTGATAATGAGTGAGGATGGGGGAGAAAGTGGGATGGAGTGAGCAGTGTGAGGCCTTGGAGAAGGGGTGGAGAAGAGGCAAGGCCTCAAAGAAGGGGCAGGAAGGAAGAGTGGCAAGGGTATTTGGGTTTGAGGTAGATCTTACATTGCACTTAAATTGAAAAAGCGATCTTGTGGTTAAAAAGGTTGGAGACCACTGCCCTACACAGTGCAGACACATTGTTCATATCAAGTCTCCTTTTCTCAAAACCAGACTTTTTTTAAAAAGCACTGGTATGTATCTTTATGTGGTTTAATGCAGCAATCCAATCTGATAACACATGGGACCCAGTTCATCAAAGAACTAAAACAAGTGCTTAACTTTAAGCATAGACTAAGTTCCACCGAAGTCAGTAAGAGTTAAGTATGTACTTAAGTGTAAGCACATACTTAAATGCTTTACTGAATTTGGGCCCTTTATTATTTAGGAGCCCATGCTCAATACAACCAGTTTAATATTCTTTAAGAACATAAAGAAGCATGAATCTGATTTAAAAGTTTCATTCATGGGACTGCAGAAGATTGGATACAAGATTTGCCTGCAAGTCTCAGAGGAGAAATATGCACTTAAAAAAAGGAAATGAATGTACATCAACTGAGAAGCTGAAAGGGTTCTGGTTGCATTAGGTTTAACTGTATAAATGTTCTCACCAAAACTAAACTGTCTGAAATTTCTGTAGTTGTAAAATTGCCACTTCAAATCCCCCTATTCTCTCCCTAGATTTACTCAGAAACAGTTCAGAAATATGACATCCATGCACAAACAATTTTTAGCACTGTCATTTGTATACCTGTTACATTTTATATGTGTAAACACTACTTCATATGAAAAGTGAACACAAATGGTATCTATATATTGAGTTTTATCTTGTGTGCAACTGATTACACATCCAGTTGCACATGTTACAAGGCCACGTTCAGGACCCTTTGAAAATTTCATTGCAAGAAATGGTGTACATTTTCATGCCTACATGTATACGTATTATTTCTGCAACTGCATTAAAAGGTGGCCATTTCCATGCCTCAATCCCCAATTTGCACAAATAATCATGGTAAGTACATATACAAACATAAGCTTGAAAATACACAAATTCTTCCATACAGACCTCTAGTCTCTCAGTTCAATCCACAGTGTCTTTAGACAGATAGCATTTTGAGAGTTCAAAAACATGCATGTTTTGAGTATTTTCCAGAATTGTGAAAAGTCTGCAGACAGCAGTCCTGACTACAGTGTATTGGGCATCCATAGGCTTTGACATGTAAACTACTGGGAAAAAATGCAATATAGGCACCCAACACTAGGAGTTACCCCATTTCATTCATTTAAAACAAATTCTAGCTAGGATACATAGTGAGGTGCATAGTTGAAGTGAGATAGGTATGGAGTATAAAAGAAGAAATGCTGAATATTCAGAAATTCCACAAACACAATAGCAGTTTTGATTTTAAAAAAAGAGAAGAGTGAGAGTTTTCATGGAAGCTAGGTATTACTCAGCAATCAGTCAGTACAGTAAAATAAAAATATTCCACTCTATGACTAATGTATACCAAAATGTGTTGCCTAAACTCTATTCTGAATTCAACTGTCATTTTATTTTTGTGAATTATCAGGATGTAAGTTTAATAAACATGAACATTTATTCTGTGGAAAAAAACAAATTTATTGTCACTTTAATAAGAAAATGGAAGAGGAAAGATGTTTACAGTTATAAGTGGTGTATTTAACCACAGCAGGTGAAACTGTAATTCCCCTAAAATAAATGGCAGTTTCACACAGGATATTTCTCTCTGCTAAGGAGAGAATTGCTACTTATGTTAACTACAAAGGAGTTGCTTGCAAGTACAAGACACTAGGGCACACACAGTGCCCTTACTTTTGCATGTGTTTATTATGTTTTTTTCTGTGTTTAATGGGGTATGTGACAACCTCTACTGATAAACATATATAAGGAAAACTGCCCCATCCTTCATATATAAAGCCTATATAAAGGCACAGTCTGCAATATTTCAGTTGGCCGCCATACATTTCCCATCTTACCTCTCCATTCTCCAGTGGGTGAATCTTGGAGTAAAACGAAGTACATATAACTTCATTATCTTTTGCATAGGATGGAGGTCCTGTGCGGGGATGAATTTTGTAACGTGTCAGACATTCTGTGTCTGTTATAGCATGATACTGCCATGGCTCATAGTTAACACCATCCAGTGAACGCTCCAAAATCCAGTTCCCAGGACGAGGTGCATTAGCTGCTTTTACAATAACATATGCAATCTGGAATACCTGGAGAACAAATCAAAAATACATGTAAATTTGTATTTATATATTCATTTTCTTTGTCCTACCTGACAAAAATAGTCAATTCTCATCTAAGAATTTTTCCCTGAAAATGAAAGGTGACAACACCTTGCACTGAAACTCTGACCATGAAAATATCCCTTCTCCAGTAATATTTCTGAAAGAAAGCAAGTTCCACAGTAACAGCACAGACTTTCGAATTGTGATAAAACATAACCCACCAGGTTCAGTCTAACTCACTAGAGAAACTCCTCCTTCGGTTTCATTTGAAAAACTGAAAATTTTGTCTTTGCATATTTTTTTAAATTTGTAAAATTTACAGTCTATCAATATATGCATTACATATGCATTTTAGCATGCACATGCATATATGGCTTTTGTAACGGTTATCCATTTCCCAAACTCAATTGTGATTTACTCTTTCATGTGAAGCTCTGTGGTTAAGAAATTAGTAGATAATCATGTAATATAAATTCTCTCTACATAAAACATTCCTGACAACATCACATGGCTTCTGCACAATGACTATAAATAAGCCTTATAGGATAGAGATACATGAAATGTCACTATAAACAGAATAATAGCATGTAATCAGCACTTTTTGTCATCTTAAGCTGTCTTTTCAGTGATTTATTAAGGTTTTTCCCTACTATCCTGCTTGCTGGGATTTGAGCCGCAAACAATTACATGCATACCTCCACAATGACATCTGCTAATGACACAGCACCTTTTTCATTAGCAACAAACAGATACCACAGTGCTAACAATGAAGCAGAGGAGAGCATAGGTCCCTGTTAGAAGTGATGAATGCACAGTGAATTAATAGTGAGAGTCACCTTTCTGTGAGGTATGAGCTCACAGAAGAAAGGCCAGAGGGAGAATACAGTGCTAATTTCTGGCTTAGTGGCTTCAACATTGAATTTGGGGAGAAAGAGTTTCTTTTGGACAGGCTGTTAATGCTACAATAAACACCATTAAAATGTAAACATTCAATGCCAGATGCCTCTGCTGTGTAAGTCTAACATCAGCTTACCCTGACTTAATTATTTTTCATTAATTCTTAGGTTGTGTCTGCGTTAGATAAATTATAAGACTGTTCCCCCTCAAAATGGTTGAAAAATACTCTCTACCCATACACACACAAAAGGGTTTTGTCTGATTGTTGGGAAGGCAAGCAAGTTACATCATAAATGTATTAGATGGAAGAACCAAAGTACCCAAGGGACATGTACAGTGGATAATGTAGGGAACATGGCAAGGGACCAGGATTGGCAAAGATTGTGGAGCGGTTATTGTGGGGGATTGGTGGGGTGTGACAAGGTAGGTGGCTGAAAGGGGATTCAGGTCACATCTCCATTTGTCACCCCCGAGATCAATCTTCTGGCATTGGTTTAGTGGTTCTCATTAAGACCGCTAAATCAAACACCGAGGGCGGCTCTGGTTGGCGCTGGTGCTCCTCATAGTTGCAAGGAGTAAGGGAAGCTGACAGGAGCATTTGCGTCATGGTCTGCTTAAGGTAAGCTGTCTTCTGATACATATTTTATACAGCTGGAATTGTGTACCTTAAACCAACATTCCTCGTTTAGTATAGATCTAGCCTCAGTGGGTAAAGCAAGTTTTTTATTTCAGGGAGCTGTCAGCTTTGTTAAAGATGATAGCAACTGCACCTGAACTAGTGTAGGACACCCCTGCTGTGGGTGCTACTTTACCACACTCTATACAAACCCTGTCAATGGTGCTTTAGTCAGTGTGATAGAATGCACTGGAACTCTGTGACTGAGTAACAAAAATAAAACCTAAAGGATCTTTGAGCTTCACTTCACTTAAGTCGGATCATCTCTGTGTTTATTTCATAGTGACACAAAAAGTGAACAAGTTCTGTTAGCTGCAGTCAAAATTCTTAGTGAAATGGTAACTCTGAGCTTATTCCCATAGGGTATTTCATGAAATACCTCTTTCTGTTTTGCTTTTTGACTGGATCAGCAGGTTGATACATGTCAAATGATATGACAATTGGACTATCTTAGAGCACATCTTTTTTTTTTTTTACACAAGTCCAAAGAAAAACAACCTGGTAATCAAATTTGCCAATCCAAATGTGAAAAAAGAGCAGAGCAATACCAAACTGTCTAGTGGCAGATAGCAGCCAATTAGCACAGCAGCCACCATACAGATGGAGCTGTTTCCAGTTACTCCGTGCATGTGACTATAACATAATTAGTAGGGGAATACTCTAAATAGTCCTCTGAGTCTTTCCCAAATTATAGACAGAATGGGCCTCATGATGCGACACAAAATGAGTCTTGGGTCTCATTTTCATTGCTAATTATCTCAGCAGCAAAGTCTGCAAAACACACATTGAGAAACACACTTCCATATGTTATAGCACTGTCTCATCTCAAGAATGGCTCATAAGATGTAGGAAAGTGTATGCTACTGTACAGGATAATTCACTACACTAATATTATTCTGACTGCTGAAGTGAATCATTCATCTGCATAGGGTTAGCCAATGGAGCAGGAATTTCCTTGTTTGTTACTTCCACCTGCTCATTTATTTCAAAAATAAATCCATCAGCTAATATAAGTTTTTGTAATTCAGAATAGCATCACAAATTCAATGCCATATTGAGCAATTATACAGAATATTGCCCAACATCTCAGACCATATATCTGCAAAGAAGGTATAGCCCAAGGTCCAGTGTGCTTCAACCATAGCCCTGGGAACTACAAGTTGTGGACTACAAACTGCAGCATGTTAGGAGAACTTCCTGGTTTCTGCCCCCAGCAGGGTCTCAGCAGGGACTGAACTGGAAGCAGCATGCAGGCGGGGCTGCTGAACTGTGATCCTGTTGTATGGGTTGGGGTTTTTATTTATTTATTTTTAACAGAATAAAGCCTGTTTCTGGTGGTTTGTCTGAGTGGGTCTGATCTGAGGTGCACACACACTAAGGCTGTGTCTAGACTACATGCCTCTGTCGTCAGAGGCATGTAGATTTGTTGTTTTGGCAAAGTCAAATGAAGCCGCGATTTAAATGATCGCGGCTTCATTTACATTTACATGGCTGCCGCGCTGAGCCGACAAACAGCTGATCAGCTGTTTGTCCACTCAGCGCGCTAGTCTGGACGCTCCCCTGTCGACATCAAAGCCCTTTGTTGGCAGCCCCGTTATTCCTCGTGGGACGAGGTTTACCGGGGCTTCTGACAAAGGGCTTTGATGTCGACAGGGGAGCGTCCAGACTAGCGCGCTGAGCGGACAAACAGCTGATCAGCTGTTTGTCGGCTCAGCGCGGCAGCCATGTAAATGTAAATGAAGCCGCGATCATTTAAATCGCGGCTTCATTTGACTTTGCCAAAACAACAAATCTACATGCCTCTGACGACAGAGGCATGTAGTTTAGACGTACCCTAATACACAACGCAGAGCACACCAAGGAGCCTCAGGCCTAGCCTCCCACAGTTGTGCAAGAAGTCACAAGGTGTGCTGAATATTCTCACACTGGGCTAGAGAGCAGGAGCGGTGACACAGGGTAAATGTCTCAAGATTTATACCAACAATCTGAGGCAATTTTTTTCACTTCTTCATTTACTATTATAGTTCTCTTTTTTAAAATTTTTATTCTAAACATCATTCAGGTAAATGGCAACATACATGTAGCATTTGGAATTTGGGCAAAAGTTTTGTATTCTTATTTAGATGCGTGAGATATAAAAACATAATTCATTTCATTGTGTATAACTGTGTGAATAATTTTGAGAGTTTTTTCTAGTACTAAAATTATTTTTTAATCTTTATAGTTGCAAAAATATCCTCCTCAGCTTATCCTTCTAGCATTGTTTATAGTCAGTTCATCTTCCCAAATCTACCAACATGCAACATGAAACTGATAAGTATGAGCTACCTATTCATATCAAGTATGCTTTAACTCTGGAATGTAGTAATAATAAATAGGATACCAACATTGTTAACTGCTTTACTTCTGATCCGTTTACAATAAATGTACGAATGCTGTATGGATAGTTAACAAAGGCAAATGCATTTTGTAAGGTTTATTGATGGGGGAGGGAGGAGAGAATGAGGGCTTCAAACTAATATTCCTGACTCTACCCCTCTTTTCTCTTCTCCAAAATATTATATACACATATATATGTAACTTCCTTTCCTACCCATGAAGACACAACAAAGAGGAAATTTGGACTGTGAGTCCGTAGAAACAGCTTCACCTCTGTGTCAGTTCTAGCATCTGACAGATTGAGGCAATTGAAAAACAAAGCACTTCTAAGGCTTTGTCTATACCTCTGTGAAGGTTCTATGTGATATCTTACTGAAAACAGAAAAAAATGTTAAGTCTCTTCTTGCAAAAATGCAGCCAATATAGTAAATTTCTCAGATGACTAGAATATTGGCATATATGGAGAATATGAATGTTTGCAAAATAACAAAAATTCTGGGACTTCAATATTTAAGTTGCCCAAGTCCCAGAACTTGGGATTTCTCTAGCAGCAACCACATGAGCTGAAGAAGCAACTCAGCCTGGAGTCGAATCAGAGCTGATAGTAGCAGCAGGAGCATTTCCTGTTCCACTGTTCCTGTTCCATTGTTACGGAATGCCTTGCAGAGAACCTTTAGGGTACATCTACACAGCAGCGCTATTTTGGGATATCTTCTCTTATCCCAAAATAGTGTTGTGTGTGTCTTAACAGCACACCCATTATATCTAAATACATTTGAAATAATAGGCATCTTATTCCAGCTTCCTGTAAACCTCATTGCACGAGGAATAAAGAAGAGACCAGAATAGCACTCTATTTTGAAATCTGGCACAGTCAAGACAGCCTATTTTGAAATTTGGTGCTATCACGAAATAAGGGTATGTGTAGACTACATGGCTCCATCAACGGAGCCATGTAGATGAGGTTTCTAGACATAAGGAAATGAAGCAGCGATTTAACTAATCGCCACCTCATTTACATCAAAATGGCTGC